ATTTTTCAAAGAGGCTGCAGGAAATATTTGTTTCCATGCCTGCAGTATTTTTTTCAGCCAGGTTGAGCCCTGGTGCTTTGGGGGACCTCCAACTCACAGCATGCATCACGTGACAAAGCCAAACAACATCCTCTCGTATGCTGCATTCACAGAGACTGTTATGTGCCACCGTTAAGGCCGTGTTGACTAAAGGTCAAATCCTTCACGTCAAATAAATAAGAGACCCGTCACAGGTGCATGTTAGGTGTTGGTTTAAATGCAGAGCCAGCTCCAGACTAGATGAAGCAATAAGAAAGATTTTCTGTGGTTCTGAAAACAGCACGAGTCTGCGAGGCTAACGTACCGTTGCGTTGATCTAGATGAGTCTTCATGTTGCAAAGTTCTCCTTTAATGTCTCCGGGCACCTCCATCCCCAACTTCTGATAGAATTCCCTTTGTTTCTTTATCTCCGCTGCACAAGAGCCAAAGAAAAAAAAAAAAGAGTTAAAAACAGAAGTCCTTTTTGCCAAGGCTGATGCTGTCATCTTTTTAACATTTAGAGAAGCATGTGTGCACTACAGGAAGCTTTATTCCTTGGGAGTTCTGAGGTTCACCCACAACAGCGAGGAAAAACAATATTAAAATGATGCATTTTTCAGTCAGTTTATCAATGCATGCATGCAAGGGAAAGCTAAAAGTTACGTTTTAAGGAAGGATCTCTTGTAGGTTGCATCCCAGTAAATAAATACACAACACTTACCCTCTTGTAGTCCCGGTACCAACTTATAGACAATGTCTTGCATTGTTCTGTCATGGCTATAAGGGACAAGAAAATAATTAGTTACTTTAACACGCAGTGAAAATTAACATTATAAAAAGGGAAAAGCAACTGAGTTTCAAACCCAGAGATTCAAAAATTCACAGCTAACAAGGTAAAGATGCACTTGTACAACTTCATAACACATTTGAATGTTTTTGTAACTCACAGCAGTGGATCTCTACCTTCAAGTCTGGACTGGAATCCACAAAAAAAAAACCTCAGTCTGAAGTCATGAGATCATTAACATGATAGGAGGGAAACAATATTATGCTGTTTCTTTTCTTATCAAAATTCCCCTTAATTTTTTTCCTTTTCTTGTATGTAATGCTGCATAATCAGTCCGGCCTCTGCACGCAGCAGTCTGAGAGGGTGGAATAACATTTGGTTGAACTATTGAGAACCTGTAGATTTTGCGCATCCTGTTATGACATGTTGCAAATGCCCCGAGGTAAAACTATAAGTTCTTGCCACCCTGCACTGTAAAACACTATCCTGTTAAATGACTGAAAATCTCAAGGTGATGTGCAAGAAAATAATCTCACAAAGCCCCAACTGACACCCTCAAAGGCTGATGTTCAGCATGTGCTCTGTCAGAGTGTTAAATGGTTAAATGGCTGCTTCCCCCGTGCTGGTGACATGGTGCACAGTGGGTACGCGTTATGTGTGATGGTGTGTTTTGACACCCAGTGCTGACAGCCAGCTAACAGACAAAGTGTGATGTTTGTTGCAAGGTTACGGAGGAGAAAAATGAATAAATAAAACTCTAAAAATGTGACATGTTTGTCTCCCCTGCTGTCCACTAAGGAGGAGTCATATCAGGGACCGAAATTAGCCACCTAATGCTGAGGATTGATCCCCTGCAAAAAAGCAGGGAAACACTGACCCCTGCTGGACAAAACTGATTATAGCCCTGAGATCTGTTACTGGCGTTAAAAATGTCCAAGTTGTGAGAAATGTAGACAAAAATCACAAATACTTTGTGTGTTTCTGTGTTTTTATTTCCTGATCCCGCCTGGAAGTTTCTGAATCATGAGACTTTAAAAGGTCAAATAAATATCCCATTAAAAAAAATGGACAATGAGTGTGTTCATCATGCAGCCCTGTGCAAATCACCTGAGTTATCACTGATAAAGAAGCAAATAAGAGCATGAAAAACCCAACAACTAAAATGTGACCGTGCCAACTAAAACGACTGCAGTCTCACACGCCCACATCTGCTGCTCTGATTGAGTCTTATGAGCCACTGCATGTCTTTTCCTCCCCCATGCCACCATGTCCTTATCACATGATCTCCTTCCTGAAGAAGAGATAACCCTTGGCTCCACATGGACACTGATTTACAGGCATTGTTCTCCTCCTTTTATGGACTCTGTTGTAAAAGCCTTTAGAGTGACATGCACATTAACTCTAAATAAAATGATCCAGCAGCCCTGAACTGTCTCTAAATGTTAACACACATAGAAACCAAAATATAAATGTAACAAATATATCATTTAAATAAAGTAGTCACATGAATCAACACCATGTTTTGAAGCAAGTAAACGAGACCAAGCGGCAACAATATGTGCACATTTCCTTCCCAGAGCTACTGATTCCCAAGCTGTTTGCACGCACGTAACCGCAACAATTTAAAGTATGTGAAAACAAAATGGATTAAAACAATCAAAGAAAGCCACATTTGGCGGGCGGAGCGGCAGGATTTGTTCTGCCCAGCTGATTCTCTGAAGAGACATCTGACTGTGATTTTTAAGCCTAAATCTCAAACATCAACTTTGATCAATCTTCCCAATGAGCAGATGGGGTTTTGCTTGTCATCTGCTGGGCGTTTTGCCTTCAAATCACTTGTGATGTTTTCCATCAGCTCCAATTTCCTGCAAACAATGAAGGGAGGAAGAAAAAAAAAAGGGAAAAAAAAAAAACAGCTGCGCAGAGAGCTAATGCGTTTGAAATGGAGCATTTCCTGCAAAACAATGAGTCTGCAGAAAGCGCAGTTTACACAGTAATGACTAAATTGCTGGTGCACATTAGGTTTGTGTGCCACATTTATCAGACGTTAATGCGTGAGCGCTCAGAGGGGCAGACACCACGCGATGCTTCGCAGAGCAGGATTTAACCAGCTGGAGACGGCTTCCAAAAGCAATAAGATATTTACAAAAGTCAACGCACTTATCTCTACTCAATTAACAGACTTGAAGTACAACTTTCCTTTTTCATATTTAGTTATCAAGAAACAGTGGGGAACGCCGAGCTGCGATGTCACTTTGATGCAAAATCCCAGCAGCGGTTTATGATCATAGCTGCAGGATCATCTACTGTATATCTACTTTATAGCAACTGAGCCGCGCTTTATACTGCACACAGACATGTTTGTTCTTTTGAAGATTTTTGAGCGTAAGCAAATAAAACATAAAAATAAGACAATGAGCATCTTTGGATCTCAGTGGGCTACAGCTGTTTTTTTACATTTTAAATGTGCAATGTGGATAAAGGAATCTCTTTGCTTTGGTTAAAGGGAAAAATATAATTTAGCTCGTGTATTTTACTAGTTTTTAATAAGAGTAGAGGGAAACTCCACAGATCTCAAAGTTGTTGTTTTTTTAACGGGTGTTCGAAAGTATTACTGCACATCCAAAAAAGGAGAAAAACATGGGGAAATAAAAATGTAGCCGCCATCCTTCCTGAGTCAGATAACATTTCAGGTGAGCAATGCAGGCGAAAATAAATAAATAAATCATTGTAAAAATCATAGGAATAATTGCATCACTAACAATAACAACCTTCTGCACCGATGTTATCGTGTAAAACAGATGGGGAGAGCTGTTATCGTTCCAGCCACAGATTACAGGCAAACCTAATCAATGAAATCACACCGACTTGTGTGATTAATGTGAGAAGCTGCTCACTCTCAGCCCTCCATGTTTAAATGGTTAAAGTTTAATAATACATTGATTGTACTAACTGTACAATGAGCATGTGTTTTCTAGACTCTTGTGCAGAAAACAGAGCTGTGAATGGGTGTGGGCTTTAAGTGTTTTTGTGCGTGGTGCAAATCTACAAAAGAAAGCAGCTGGACCACCCCGAGAGGCTTTTTGTTTCCTGCAGAAGAGCAGAAATCAAATGGAAAAGGACCGCCGGCTCTTTGGTCCTCGGCAGTTTGTTTACTGGCAGAGCACAGCTGATGGCACTCAAAGTGTGAATGAGTGAGTGTGTGTGTGCGTTTGTGTGTGTGTGTGTGTGTGCAGCTTTGCAGTGGTTCCTCACTCACCCGATATACTGCAGTGGATGGCTCTGATGAATAACAATCCTACACGTGGGGCACGTGTTGTTTTCCTCCAGATACTTCACAAGGCAGCTTCTGCAGACTGGAGACGCACAGCAGAATTGTACGGTTATTTTTCATCGTGCACACAAACACACACACAGAGCATCTTTCATTCAAGGTCTTTATTTGTAGAGAAAAGAATATGCCACACATTTTTAGATTTCCCTGCTTAATACATGAAAAGCAAACCGTTTTCCTCTGCTTTTTAACACTCGAGTTTGCATTCGTTGATCTCTGTGCAGCGCTGTTGTACTTGCTGTGTACATCTATTTTCTTTCTTTCTTCATGTACATCTACAAATGACCTTAAAGTTCAAACACACTTGGCCAATTTGATCTTTTGGTCAACCATTACACCCCGCATCAGTTAGACTCTTTAAAATGCAACTAAAACTCTCACCACCAGGAGGCAGAATTTTACCAACGGGTGTTTTTGGATGTGTGTTAGCATTCTTAAACCTTTTAATGTCTTTTCAGTCCGATCCCCATTTCTTCAACAGGCTTTGCTTTTCCAGGCCATCGGGGCGTAAAGGAGAATGTGTCCTTAGTGGTTACACTGTACTGGTTCACCAGCCTGACCCCAGTTCAACTCCAGTTGAGAATTCTTAAACACAATATAGGAAGATTTCAAAGGTAGTACTGATTGCTAACAGCTTTAGTTTATTTTTTGAAGGTGATTAAAGTCAGTCTGTCTGCAAAGTTCAGGGGCTTCATGAAGCAGCTGGCAAACTTAACTAAGGCGAACTTTACCATCTCCCGCTGATATTTAATGGTCAAAGTGACATCAGCTTATGTAAGCAGGTGTTCAGTGACAAGATGATGTAGTTCAGAAATGATAAGCATCAGTGCTCTCTTATCTCAAATATAGCATACATTTATTTTTCCCCACTGTAAAATCTCAAATCTTATGGATTTTTATGGATCTTCTCAATTTAAAAAATAATAACAACAACTCACAACTTTAAAGTCATTATAGAAGCCGATTCCCTAGCTGCACTCACTGTTGAACGATAAGAGCATTAGCTCAAACAACAACCTGCAAATGTTTCCATTAATAATCTCGTCTCCTTTTTCCAGTCAGACAGGCTGCGCCCTTATTTCCTGACCCTGCTCCTTCTCGTCGAGTTCTTATTAAATGGTTGTAAATAAAAGCATCACCCAAGGAAACATTGAAATATTTCTGCTCATTAAAACGGCTGATGAGTTTTTTTAATGGCTGGTTTGAGTAAGAGGTGGCTCAGGTGGCACAGCGGGTCATCTCACTAATCACAAGTCTGCATGTGAAAAAGTCTTCGCTTCAAAAAAAGCATCCATCACGGACTGTGTGTATAGCTGTAAATAAATACAGGCCACTTACCATTTAATACACGAGACAGTGAGATAATCAAGTAATCCAAGGATGCACTAATTTAAAAAAAAGACATACTGGATCACAAACTGCGTCTAATGAATCTCATACTGCCAACAATGCCTGTGCTTAAAGAAACTGACCCCTCACCTATGGATCCCTTCATGTGTACAGCACATGTTGTGTACAACCCAGCACTGTAATTTGCAGCACGTGGTTCACCACTTTACCCATCTCAGCCACACTTTTTTTCCCTCCCGTTTCTGTGACAATAGAGCTCGATCTGTCAGAACAGCTGCAGTGGTGACGTGATGTGAATCTCTTTGTCTCCACTCTCCAATGGTGGAGCCTTTCTCCAAGTGAGAGGGAGAGTCAAAGCGTCACGTCTGGACTCAGACGCCTTAAGTGGGCAGAGGGGCTTCCATTTGTGAGTTAAGAGCTCCCTCTGGTGGGCAAGAGAGGTACTAAAATGTCTGTGGTTATCTTAACATATATTCCAGCACATGTCTGATACAGGGTTATGTTTATTTTCACTGTTCTGCTCTAATCAGTGTCTAATTTATCAAATCATTTTTAATCTCCCCAAATTCCGAGTGTGTTGTTCTTGAAATAAATGTGTCAAGTTTGATTAAGCTGCTCCACAGGGGGTGAGAGCGCCCCCCAGCTCAAAATGCTTGGACACTTTTTATTATCCTGCACTATCAGAAAATTGTGATTTCACAAAAACAGCCATCTCAATCTGCCAACACGAGCAGCTTGGTGTGGTTAGCTAGGCAATCTAAAGACTCTCATGTGAGCATTAGAGGGCACTTAAGGTTGCGGGGGGGGGGCAAGGCCTCGACAACTTGGGGACCCCTGCGGGGATTACGAAATGTCAAATTCAAGGTTGAAAAAAAAAAAAAAGCAATAAAATGCTAAACAATGTGCAACCATTCAGCACGTGATGACTTTATTAAAAGTCAGGCTGCAGGATAAACCAGGCCTCACTCAGTATTAAGGAAGTGTTTGGTGACATGTTGGAGGAAGTGAAGCCAGACGCCCTCAAAAGGTTTAAAACCTACTGAGAACTTTATTTACTAAAAATAAAACAAAATACCCCATCGGGTGCCTAGTTATTCAAACTCAACCATCTCATTTGCTGAAAATATGAAGTCTGCACTGTTTCGTTCTCTTTCAGCTTTGATTGTGGAAAAACTGACATAATGGCAGTGATGCAGGTTTTAACCCTGTAAAGACGGAGCCACCTGGCTTTACGTGTCTGGTTTGCATTTTGTATGCTCGAGTTATCTTTGTCTAATATTAAACTTGGTGTGATCAGATCTGTAACAAATCAGCAAGAAAAAAAACCCCAAAGAAATTCAGAAGCAGAGTAAACATGATTTCTTGTAAAGTTATAAAAAGCACAAAAACAACATTTCCTTCGCCTTTGAGGTTTCAGCGCCTGATGTCGTCAAGCCTTTTATTTCCTCTTTGTTCTTGGTTTTTTGTCGTTTTCATTTCTTCTGCAAAGCTCCTTCTACATTAAAAACATCAGCTTCTTACTTATTGTTGCCAATACACGGAACAACTCTCAGTTACTCGCCCACTAATCAAATCCGCGATCAAATTGGCTGCTGACCGAACTTTCAAACTCCATTAAAATGGCCTTTAATCTGTAAATTACCTCCAATGCTCCAAATGAAAGCCATTCAGTTTCATCTTGCAAGACCAGAAAACATTTTAATTTTGGAAGCGCTGCAACTGAAGCTGCACTTTAGCTTCTCTTGGCCTTTGACGAGTCCTGGATTACTTTGTTTGTTTACTTTTCAAAAGCACAATCAGCTATACGCAGTAGTTATTATGAACTCTGCAGCCGTTACGATCAGACGCTGGTGAACATACAGAATCAGACTTTCTGCATGAGCGCCGTCTGGTTTCACGCACCAGAAAGCACAAACCAACAACAACCAGTGCAACGTATCTGACTCTTTTCCTCTAAAGCAGCTCTGCCCGACTTTCCTTCTGTTTTTACATGCCAATCATGCCATTTTATTAAGTACCGCAGCAAAATACATTAAAATAGGCTCTACCTTTACGCAACTCAGTTTTCCGTGTCTAAACAGACGACTTTAAAAGGTTTAGAAGTTCCAAGAAATTTTTTAAAAAGTTTTTGATATCAGTTTTTGAATCTGATTTAACCAAAATAATTTTCAGTTGCATTTTTCCGACACGTACCTTGCATACACATGTTCTCCAATATGAACCAGTCCTCTGCAAAGACTTCTCTTTTTGGTTCCTTCTTTTAAGAAATGGCTCTTTATGTTATGCAATGTCATGACTAAGACCCCAAGTATCTTAAATGTTGACGTATTTACACAATAACAAAAACCTTACAGTCATCATCACAGGTGAACTCTGTTGCCTGATTGATTTTTTTTTGTGCACTAATGAAGTGGTCACTCTGTATTTCAGCAACAGACTGTCTAAAACCGATCCTATTATCACCAAAACTGTACTAACCAGCAGGTGGTGTAAGTGCGGCCCTTATATCTGGAGCTCATGCTAAAAACAAAAAAAACCAAAATTCACATTAATTAAGGTTAAGACTTGCTAATATTAAAAAAAATAAAAAGGTAAGAAAGTGTAGCCACGAGGAGCCTCTTCATGAGCCAAACAAAATGTGAGCAGTCAAACTTAACGCCTTTATAATCAGTCCTTCAGACTCTGGTTAAAGAGGAAACTGGTTAGGAGTTAAAGGCAGGATCAGAATGTGTGTGTTTGGGGGGAAAAGAGGGATTAAAGTTCTGTGTTTGTGGAAAACAAGACCAATGCATGGATAAAGAACCTAAAAGTGACTTTTTGCACATTCTATTGCACTATTGTGTTTGTGTCTGGTGTTGCAGTCTTTGTTTTTGTTTTTTTTGGTTTGCTATCTTTTGGATTTTTTGTATATTTTTTGTATATTGCACTTTATGCAGTCCTGTGTTGATTGTCTGTTATATTGTTTGTTGTATGTCATATTTAGCACCATGGTCTTGGAGGAATATTGTCTCATTTCACTTTGCACTGTAACGCTGCACATGGTTGGAATGACAATAAAACCACTTGACTAATCTTCAGTTTCAGATAGGATGGGAAATATCCACAGTCCTCACAGTGATGAAAAAAAATCCTGAATGCAGATCCAGATCGAACGTCGACCCGATCATCACCTCCGGCACAATTTTCATGCAAATCATTTTATAATGATTTGCACAAACTGAACTTTTTACAAAACCTCTTTGGCTGAGTTAACATCAGTGACAGTGGCACTGACTTCGCACAGCCTGCCTTCACAAACATGTAAACGCGGTTAATTACACTGTATGAGTTGAGCTTAAACCTGCGTCCCATTGCTGCGTCCAGACTGGAAGCAGTGGGCTGCTCACGCATCGCTTTGAAGCTGGTGACCGATCGCTTGCAACATTTCAGGCTCCAGCTAATTTGGCGATCCTCTAATGCACAGGTGTCGAACTCCAGGCCTCGAGGGCCGGTGTCCTGCAGGTTTTAGATGTGTCCTTGATTCAATACAGCTGATTTAAATGGCTAAATTACCTCCTCAACATGTCTTGAAGTTCTCCAGAGGCCTGGTAATGAACTGATCACTTGATTCATGTGTGTTGACCCAGGGTGAGATCTAAAACCTGCAGGACACCGGCCCTCGAGGCCTGGAGTTCGACACCCCTGCTCTAATGTATATACCACCAGGCCACATGTCGACTAATAGTGTTCTTCACTCTTATTCGTCTCTTCAGTTGCTCGCCTGGAAACTAAGAAAAGTTTCTCTCGGGTCCCGCCCACTTCCTGTCACCAGCGGTTATCACTATGGTCACTTCTGGTCGCGTCCAGTGTGGACAGAGCTTTGATTAAGAGAGGGTTTTTCATCATTTTTACTGAAGACGCTGACTAAACTCTGTTTTTAAGGTTACGTCCTAAAAAAAACCTACTTATTTTCATAGAATTTGTAAGAGAACTCTAAAGATGCTCATGGATCCAGATTTGAGTTAGAGAGTCTTTGTGTCTGGGTTAAGGCATTGGATCAGACAAGATAGCGCCTCTACCTGCAGCATGAACCAGGTGTTATCACGGCGCTTTATTGAAAACACCCAGCTGATGCATAAGTTTGATATTTTTATGAGACTAATAAATGTGCAGAATACTTGGTCTGCCCTCTTGTGAGTCTTTGTACGCGCATCTACTTCATATTAAAAGCCGTTTGTTGGAAAACATCAGCACAAATAAAGATAGTTTTGAGATAAAGAAAGAAGAAGAAAGAAGAAGCAACAGTAAACCTGACCAACAGACAGAGCAGGTGCGTCACAGAAACAGCAACAAGCGGTGCTGCACAGATATCAGAAGCATCGCTCTGCTTCCAGGATATTTTTCCCCGAACGGCAAAGAGCCAAGAAAAATCCTGGGAGACAAAAACAGCCTGTGTGTGTGTGTGTGTGTGTGTGTGTGTGTGTG